TCCTCCTCCTAATTCCTCATCCTCCCACCTCTCCCCTCACACTCCCTCCTCCTCGACTTCCTCACAGACCCCACCAGGCTCGCGAAACGGCGCGACTGTCGCCGACGCCGCAGAGGCTTCGCCACGCCGGAGCTCAGGGCCTCGGCAGACCGCCCGTGTGTCTGGGTCAGCGCTGGGTGGCGCCCCAGGGGCCACCATACTCGCGCGCTCTGCACGCCAGCAGAGGGCCCCCGCCGAGCCAGTACACCCCATCGCCCCGGCCGTTGCCCCTGAGGGTTGGCACGCTCGACGTGGGTACAAGACAAAAAATTGCACAATGCCCAGCAGAGTTTGTCCGAATCCGGCAGCGGCCGCTGTTGGGCAGGCGGCGTCTTCGTGTCCCAACTGGACACCGTACCGTCCGCGGCGACACCGACAGCAACTCTCGGCGGCGAGCGAGGGGGGGAAGTGAGAAGGAGAAGGCCTTCTCAGAAGGCGGCGGGACTTCTCAGAAGCTCTCGCGCCTTCTGGGACAATTTCTGTGTCTTCGGGGAAGCTTTAGAAAACTTCTCAGAAGGCCTGCTCATTTCATATCACCCCCTCGCTCGCCGCCGAAACCCCTGTTCGAAAATGGGCAGGAACTGCTGTCGGTAGCGCCCGCGTTGCCCATCGTGCCGAGAGGGGGCCCGCGCCGCAGCGCAGGCGATCGGCCCGGCGGTCCTCGGACCTGTTGGAGATGGGCGACAGCGGCTCGCCCGCCATCTCCTCGCCCTCCTGCAGGGCCAGCGCGAGGGGTGGACGGGCTCAAGGGGCGGAGCATCGACCTGGAATCTGCGATGCATCGCCGATGGATCGGCGACGGGCCCTCGACAGCAGAACCGCATCGTCCCGCGCGGGGCGAGCTATCGGGCTCTTACCGGCGACAACAACGCGCCTGGGGGTCGGCCGATGCGTCCCCCCCTGAGCACATCCCCCCGGTACGTGACGTTGCCCCTGACCTCCTGGCCTTAAAACAGGGCTAGGATCGGGATAGATCGCTCCAGAGCGTTCTGGAGCGCTCTCGGAGCCTTCCGGAACGCTCTGGAGCGACCGCGGCGCCCAATACATCCTCCAAACCCGCCGACTCTCAGAGATTTCGAGTTATCCCGATCCGATGTTGTCCCGATCTTCGTGTCGTTTTATGGCCTGGAAGGCGGGAGCGGTTCGGCTCGACCGTGAAAGCCGCGCCCTGCCCAGACATCGCGCGCACGGCGCGCCGCGCGCGCGCGCGCGCGCCGGCAGGCGAGCGAGCCCGCGCTGCAGGCGGGCGCTGGCGCGCTCTCGCGCGCGACGCGGAGGGCACCCACGCGGCCCGCCCTGGGGAGAGGTGCGCCCTCCCTGATGAGGCCCTGGAGCATTCCTCCTCCTCCTCGAGCATTCCTCCTCCTCCTCCTCCTCCTCCTCCTGCTCCTCCTGCTCCTCCTCCTCCTCCTCCTCCTCCTCCTCCTCCTCCTCCTGCTCCTGCTCCTGGTCCTCCTCCTCCTCCTGCTCCTGCTCCTCCTCGTCCTCCTCCTCCTCCTCCTCCTCCCCTTCCTCCTCCTCCTCCTGCTCCTCCTCCTCCTGCTCCTGCTCCTCCTGCTCCTGCTCCTCCTCTCCTCCTCCTTCTCCCTCCTCCTCCTCCCCTTCCTCCTCCTCCTCCTGCTCCTCCTCCTCCTGCTCCTGCTCCTCCTGCTCCTGCTCCTCCTCTTCCTCCTCCTTCTCCTCCTCCTCCTCCTCCTCCTCCTGCCCAGAAGGGCCGAGGCAGCAGCCGCCCGACTGGGGCGCCAGCCAGACCGAGACCACCAAGTCGTACGAGAGCCTCCTGGGAAACCCAGAGCTCACTCTGAGCGAGAAGCAGACGGCCGTCGACAACGCGTACGTTACGTGGCTGGACACCGCGCGCACCGACTTCCAGGGCATCGTTGACCGAGACGCCAAGGACATGCAGCTGTGGGGAGGCCCCATCAAGTTCAAGCAGGCCCCCCTGCCCGAGGTCTGGGTCGCCAGGGACAAAACCAAGACCACGCAGGGCAGAGCCTTGACCTGGCTGGCAGGGCAGCCACGACATATCAGGGGGTTGGCGCACCAGCAGTTCGAGCGGGACGCTAGCGGCAAGGGCTCAGAGAAGACTGACCATTACGGCTGAAGGCTACGAGGGGCCATCCAGGCGTGCCGCACCGCCCTGCAGCACGCAATGTTTGATCTGCGGGGCGAGAGCGAACCTCTTTCGCTAAAAGCTAGGCGGGCTACGCACAGCTTTAATTAGGGAGACAGGGCACAGGAAGGCGGCCCTGCAGCACACAAGGGAGTGTGGCAATGCGCACCACGCCCTGGACAACTACGCCGAATGGGACGCCCTGGCCCAGGCCGCCCTCGAGCGGATCGAGAGCGCGGTGGGAGAGGACGACGCGCATGAAGAGCCCGTCGGCGCGCACAGCTGGCAAGGTTCAACTTCAGCATCTTCAGATGTTGCCGAGGTGCCCGCGGGCCCTCCAAACGCCACTGGCCCGCGGACCTGCCCGCGGGCCACCGCTGGCGCGAGGCTGGGAGGGCGCGCCGCTGCTGGAGGGGCAGCGCGGGCGGAAGATCGACTGCCTGAGGGGCGGCGCGATAACCGGGGGGGGCAGGGGGGCAGCTCTGGGAGCACCCTAAGGCCCACCCCCCGAGGGAGGCACAGTCACACGACCGCCCCATGTTGAACGTTTCTTTCGCAGAAGAGCTGGACGTAAAGAGCAGCCACGGCGGAAATGCAGCAGCACGCCCTGCCAACAACCTCAGCAACCCAGATGCGGACCCGTTCGCGGAGCTGGATGCGGAGCAGGGCTTCCTCGAGCACGGATTCGAGAACCAGGACTATAGCTGGCGCTGAGAACGCGGCCGAGCCTAGGGGCCATGAGCCCACAAGGGAGGCTGCAGTCCCAGCGCTGCCGCACCAAGTCAATGGCACTGACGAAGTGCGCCCACAGCAGCCCGCGGCCGCGGCGCCGCTGGACGAGGACATTTTTTGGTCGGCGGAGCGAGAGCGAACCTCTTCCACGAAAAGCTAGGCGGGCTACGCGCATCTGGACCAGGACCGGCGCAGCAAGAACGTCGAGACCACCATCAGGATGGTCGAGCTCGAGGCCAGGCTCGCGGAGCAGGCGGGGAAGAGCATCCTCGGTGGCCCACGACACGGCAGGCAGGCGAAGAGCTGGCGCGAAGCACTGGCCGGGGATCACCCACGAGGAGCTCCCATGGTATACGAGTGGACGAAGGACCCTGGCGAAGGCGCGGCAGAGGTCGCGGACGGGAAGGCCGAGCGCGCCCAGGATCGCCGCGCGCGGCCAGTGGCCCCCCTCACCGAGCACCAGCAGGGATGGGCCAAAGCGCGGAACGCCCGACGAGCCCGACGAGATCATCATCTCCCTGCGCGCAGCCATCACGGCCGCCATCGAGAAAAATGGACACCAGCACCACGAGCACCTCCTCACCGCGAAGCAGGTGAGCAAGGTAAGCAGGTCCTTCAAGGCCAAGATCTGCCAGCCTGGCGTGATCCACCCACGCCACCTGGGGCGGCTCAGTGACGTGGAGCCGCTCGCCCAGCTGCTCAACCTCATCACCGAGGCGGGAGTGTTCCAAACCGGCGAGCAGGAGATGCTGACCGCCCAGTACTTCAAGGTCGGCGACCCATTGGGCAGAGCCTGCACCGAATGCGGCGCAGGTGCCACAAAGGTCAGCTCCGCGTCTGGCAGAACGACTGGACGAGAAGGGCATCTTCAACACGGGCACCTCCCGCAAGGTCACGGACTGCGCGCGGCGCGCGGCGGCGTGGGTCGAAGACGCAGCAGGGGAGATGGCCTACCTCATCCCGCTGTGGGACCTGACCAAGGTTTTCGAGATGGCCCCCCACACCATCCGGCGCCGCCCCGGCTGCCAGGCAAGGGGAGGCATCTTAAGGCGACGCACCTTCATGCTAGACGGCTTGGCGGGCGAGGCCCTGCACCCCGAGGACGGCTTCGCGGCGGGATGCTTCTCGGCGACCTACGCGCTTCAGGCCTACATGCTGGGTCAGTTGAAGGCACAAGCCGAAGCTCACCCAGAGGTAGGCATCGCGGTTCACGAAGACAATTTCAGCCAGGAGGTGGCCGCGCACAACAGCGCCACGCGCGTGGACATCCCGGCGCAGGCCGCGCGCAAGCTCAAGAGCGTGCTGCACGGCGAGCTCGAGATGCAGGCGGCCGACGCGAAGGGCGCCATCCCGGGGAACAGCGACGAGCTCACGCACGAGGGCAAGCGAAGACTAACAGGGCTCGGCCCCCCCAAAGCCGACTACACATCGCGGCGGGGCCAGGGCAAGCATCGGCATCGGCACCTTCGTCGGCAGCCAGGCAGGCCTGCCCCGACGGCCCGCCACCTCGGAGCTGACTTTCGCGCGGGCCAGCGACGACGCGGGGCAGTCATGCGAAGCGTCCACCCAGGGCCTGCGCGAGGGGCCGGGTGGAAGGCGGCGAAGCCGAGGATGGCGATGGGCTTCCGCGCCATGAAGGCCCACAAAAAAGACCGGGCGCACCCTGCGCTCCGCAACTCTGCCCACGGAGAAGCGGGGAGGCGAGGTCAGCGGCTTCACTCTCCGGGAGCTCGAGGGGCTCAGGCGCATCACTGAGCAGGTCTACGGGCACGGCCACACGTCGCCCGACGTCTCCGGCGCCGTTCACCCCGAGCTGGACCCAATGGGCAAGGCGGCCGCCACGCCGCTGGGCAGGCAGGTACCTGGAGGAGTGGCGGAGGGCGACCGACCAGCGCCACCGCCATGGCACGGCGCTGCCCATCACCACGCTCAGGCGCGTCTTCGAGCAGGCCCTGCAGGACAACCTAGATGGCAGGGCGGAGGCGGGCCCCATCGGCGCAGCGCTGAAGGCCACAACGGTTGCAGGCCGGCAGGTCGAGAACGCCACCACATTCGTCTCGCCGCGGTTCGGTCACATCTCGGCCCTTGAGCACGCCCCGAAAAGCATGGAGCACTTCTACCTGAAGGACGTCGTCGACCGTGCACGGGAGAAGGCCACCGACAGCGCCAGGCGCCGCGAAGGGCTGAGCGAGCAGGACCCCCCCAACGCGCGGTGGGAGGGTGGCCAACACGATTGGGCCCAAGCACCCCACACCGCTCGGGGAGCGGGCCATCACCTCCGTCATGGGCGGCACCGAACTCACGGGGACGAAGATGGTCGAGTGGGGCTACGACGAGAATGCGGGCGCCGGTCGGCGCTGCGGGGCGGCCGACGACCTGGCCCACCTCCTCGGAGCGCGCGCGGTCTTCGCTGCGGGCCAAGCCAAAGTGGCGCCACCTCCCCCATCCCTCCTGCAGTGACGGCGGCGCGAGGGCGAGGAAGATGTCGGGCCCTTCTGTCCTGGAGCGCCGCCTTTGCCTGTCTGCCCAGAGGTGGGCCACCCCTGCGCGCCAGCGAAGATGTGCCCGTTGAGAACGATGAGCTGGCCGCTGGCGGGAGATGGCCGCTGGCGGGAGATGGCTCGGCCCCCACCAGCCGCCTCAAGGATTCTCGCAGGGCGGGGTGGGCGTTTGTGCAGCGGGGGGGGGCGGGATCGTTCGCAAGCTCCTCGGTCTCTCACCTCCCAGCTCCCTCCTCTTGCACATGCGGCTGAATCCCAGGCCGTCTGCCTTGGGGCAAAATACTCAGACGGGTCGCCTGCCTACATAGGCGACGACGCGGCAGCGTTGGTTGCCAGAGCGAGCGGGCGCGCGTGCACCACTAGTCCAG